AAGACTTACAAGAAGAGTGAATCTGAACGCAGACACATACAGAGGAAAAACTAGGTGAAGACAGAGGGAGATGCTAAAACAAAATGATAATATCATCTAAGGAAGTGATGAATACTAGAAAGACAGGAGCAGATAATCCACCTGAAGGCAGCAACACTAATACTGAATAAATCAGAAGATCCTGAAAAAATCTGTAGAGACGTTAATAGGTAGAGCCTAGAGTAATTCCTGAAACCAATTGTGGTCCAGCCCAGTGACATTTTCAGGTCAGGTGTGGCCTCAAGCTTGGGTTATTTGGATATAATGAACACCCTCACTTGAATAATACCCTACCAGATTTCATGGGTCTCCACCAGAGGTTGCCAACTGGGGTTTCTCATCACTGCATGAACATGGGAATCACATGGTATACCTTTTAAAAACATTGCTGCCTAAAGCCTGTCCTCAGAAAGCCTGATTTAATTGAGTTGAAGTAAGGATCATAATTTTATAATCCCTATGTTTAATATTTGAGGGATATAAAATGCTATCGGTATTGAAAACCAGTGCTGTGGATCACCCAGGGGACTCTGCCATCGCCCCTTGAGGAGGCCTGTCAGTTCTAGATGCCACCTTAGTTTTATGGAAAAGTTCGAACAGATAATTTCTCAGTCATGTGGTTTCAGATATACACTAGAATTCAGACTTCCAGGAAAACAAGTTCTTCAGTGAGTATTGGCAGCCTGTGTAATATATTTTACTTTATTTTTTTAAAAGATTGATGCTGTTTCAAACCTCCTGATTTTCTGGATGGTGTAGGCAAGAGTCAGGCTTACAAAAATTTTGTCTCCAATCAAAAAGCCAACCTTAATGACAAGCAAATTGTGCACAAATAGTTCACCACAAGAGCATAACCTGGACAAATGAAAGACTATCCAAGACAAAATGATCAAGGATTTCCCCTTTTCGCAGTTCATTGATTTGTTTTTAAAAAAATTTACTGAGCACTTACTACATTATAGGCACTTAATATATGCAAGCTGAATAAGATTTAAAAATTCCTTAACTCACTGATATTTTTATCTAGAACATGAGCTCTGTTAGTTTGGGGATCGTGATTTTTGTTTTATCTCATTTTGCTGTTTTGCACACCATTATATCTTTGATGCCCAGTAAGTTGTAGACAATTAATAAATGTTTGATGAATCAATAAATGAATGGATAAATGAGTGAAATATAAATTAATTAAATTAAATATGAGGTCCGTTCGGGAAAAGTCCAGCCATTATTAATATAACGAGAATGGTTTGCGACATCACTGTAACCTGGCAACCAAGGAGAGAGGACTGGAATGTGCATGTGTTAACAATGACGACTTTACTATTCTTGTCAGTAGAGGTGGGAGATACCATTGAGTGAGCATGTGTACTGTGTGGCCATCATGTTCAAAATGACTGCGATTATGCATCGAATTTTGCATTAAGCTTGAGCATTCCTCCACGGAAACTATTCAGATGATTCAGAAGGCTGTAGCTATGGGCAACTGGTGACTGGCAGGTTCATCATGACAACGCACCTGCTCATGCATCACGTCTCGTGCAGAGGTTTTGGTGAACTATCAAATCATCCAGGTGACTGATCCCCTCTATAGCTCAGATTTGGTACCCTATGACTTCTGGCTTTTCCCAAAACTAAAATCACCTTTGAAAGGGAAGAGATTTCAGACCATCCATGAGGTTCAGGAAAATACAATGGGGTAGCTGATGATGATTGGGAGAACTGTGTGAGGTCCCAAGGTGCCTCCTTTGAAGGAGACTGAGGTGTCATTATCCTATGTACAATGTTTCTTATACCTTGTATCTTCTTTAATAAATGTCTCTATTTTTCATATTACATGGCTGGATACCTTCTGGACAGACCTGCTTGCATATATCATTACAAAAGTGCTTATGATATAGAGAAAAACAAGGTGCTATAAGAATATGACACAGAAAAGTAAATTATACAGGAAGTTAAAGAAGTTTCCCAGGGAAAAAAATAAAAGTATGTCCAAGATGACATTAATATGGGAAATCAGAAATAACAGGCTTAAAGACCTGAAAGGATGAGAAAAAGTAGCTTATCTTAGAAATTTCAATTTCAGCGTGGCTGGAACTTGAATGGAGAAAAGGATTAAGGAGATATAGCCACGTTCAGTTCCCTAGAGCAGCGGTCCCCACCATTTTTGGCACCAGGGACTGGTTTCGTGGAAGACAATTTCCATGAACAAGCGGTTTCCATTGGAGAGGATAGTTTTGGGGTAAATCAAGGGCATTGGGCTGTGTGGCCCAGTTCCTTCCAGGCCATAGACCAGTATGGTCCATAGCCCGGAGTTGGGGACCCCTGCTCTAGACGATGTGTCTTATTTTCTTATTGCAGCTGTAACAAATAAATTACCACCTATTAGTGACTTAAACAACCACAAATTTATTATCTTACAATTCTACGAGTCAGAGGTCTGGACTGGGTCTCAGCAGGCTGAAGTCAAGGTGCCAGCAGGGCGATGCTTCTTGCTGGGGGCTTTACAGGAGAATTCCTTGCCTTGCTTCTTCCCGCTCTCCAGAGCTGCCTCTGTTTCTTGGCTCGTGGCCTCCGTCCACCTCCACAGCCGGCGGCAGTCAGCGGACTCCCTTTTCACGCTTTGGATTTCGCCTGCCTCTTCTGCCTTCACATTCCTCTGAGCCGCTTGTCTGCTTTTGGACTCACATGTTTAGAACGGGCCTACCCAAATAATACAGGATAATCTCCCCTTAATCACATCTGCAAAGTCCCTTTTCCATGCAAAGCAACATAATCACAAATTCTGGGGATTAGAGTATCTTTGGAGTGAGTACTCTGCCTATTACATTGTGCTGGAAAATTTGAACTTTATCTTCAAAGCAAAGGGAAGTTACTGGAAGGTTTTCAGTAGAGCAATGGTATGATCAACTTTGCATTTTTTAAAAACCTCTCTGGATGAGCTATGGAAACTGGATTAGAAGGAAACCTTTGTCATCTAGGAGAGATGTGATGGTAGTGTAGACCACAGAAATGTCTACACTGGAGGACATGAAGGATAGATTTGAGAACCATTCGAGACTGTAAACAATAGGCTTTAGTGGTTTATTAGGTACGGGAGCTGAGTGCAGGGGAATCGGGAAAAGACAAGTAACACCCAATTCTCTAGGTAGCGTGACCGCAGAAATGGAAGTGCTGTTTACCAAGATCACAAATGCAGGGGAGGGGCAGCTTTGAGAGAAGAAGGAAAAACAAAGACTTTCTTTTGGACTGCATTGAGTTCTTTCAGCCACAAAGACATTCAAGTGCAGATGTTCAATCAGGAGTTCTGTCCAAGAGTTTAAAATTCAGAAATGATGTCTGAACGGCAGGCTTATCTATGAGTGTTGTCAGTATATACGTGGCAACCAGAGCCCTGGGAAAAGTGTGGAGAGGGAAGAAATCCAAGCACAGGACCTGAAGGAAAAGCAGCATTTCAGAGACTATCAAAGGAGGAGGACAGCCTCTGAAATGCCTGCAAAGGAGAGTTGGAATAGAGGGCAGAAGGGAAAGGAGAAATGGAAGGAGTCCAGTGTCATTCAGTCCAAGGGAAGGGAGTGTTCTAAACAGCAAGAGTGGTCAGTTGCATTGACCTCTGGGAAAAAGTCAACAAGATAAGGACCGAAAAGAACCAAACGAACCCCCTGAAAGTCCTCGTTGACTTTGGCAAGAACAGTGTCCTTGAGGCAGGAAGGTTGGGCAGGGATTAGGGGGTAAGGAACAAGAGACCAGGGTGCAACTACTTCTCCGAGAAAGTGGGCTAAAAAGATGGGAGAATTTGGGAGGTAGCTAAAAGCCCATGTATGGCTGAAGGAAAGAACTATTTTTGTTTCAGTTGAGGAAGAAACATAAATTTGTTTATGGCAATTTCTTTAAGCATCACTGTGAAGGGAGATGAGTGTTGCTGAAAGAAAATGTGAAGTTCAGGGAGAGTGTTTCTTTTGCTCACTCATCTGCTTGTTTATGTTTAATGTCAAAGACTTAAACACAATATATTGCAAACGGAAAGGAGCTGGAAATGAGGGAGAGCTTTAAATGAAGGAGATGTTCAATGGGTCAAGGTCTCAAAGAGGAGCTGGGGTCTAGAGCTTGTGTGGCGCGATCAGTTTTGCCTGGTCAGCCCCCCGGCATAAGAGGCTGCACTGTACAAAGAAGAGGCGCCAGCCCAGGGACATGGGGACAGGAAGTTGATGGGATTCTTGTTCAGTGGTTTCTGCTTCGGCTTTTTTTTTTTTCCCTTGTGATTGAATGAGAGAGAGGCGGTGTCACAACCAGTAGAGATCCAAATGGTGAACCAACAGAGAAAGAAAAGTTCAAAGGCAGAAAAGCACTGCTGGGCAGTAAGTCTGGGAAAGGAAGGGAAGGTAACAAGTGCCAAAATATATGCTTTTAAAATGCAGAAAAGTGAAGAATGAGTTCTGAAGTGGAATATGAAATGGTAAGGCTTCCAGTTTAAGAAATGCAGAATACAGGGGGCAGAGCGGTGGGAAGCCTGGTTGATAAGGTACTTACTTTTGGAACGACAAGCAGGCTGCTTAAATTTGCAGGAGACCCAGGCAAGTCCAGGCTTTGCCAGACAGCCAGTAGGAGCCGGTGGGGGGGCGGTGGGCAGAGCAGGGTGGGGCACAGGGCACAAAGTGAAACAAGGTTTGTAGCTTCAGCAAATTCATAAACTAGTTGAAAATATAAGGCTAATCAATGAGCTAGTTTTCCTCATCACCCTTATTTGTGGTTGTTGTCAGGTTGAAAGTTAAATTACAATTCAGTACAAAAATTAAACAAAAAATGAGTTGAAATTACAAAATGGTATGCTGTCAAGTGAGCACATAATGAGAGATAGAGTAAAAAGGTAAGTAGTATGCCTAAGGGGAAAAATAGTAAAAAGTTAAACTTGGAAACAAGCACACAGGATGGCCACAGTACGTTGAAACGTCCTCTTATCTCAGTTGTGCCCTAGAGCCAGAACAAAAGGCTGACACTCCCCTGCCCATAGACTGCAGGCTGAGCACCTGGAGCGAATGGTCGTCATGTGACCCCTGCCTGAAACAAATGGTAAGCGTTTGATGTTATTCCCTGCTGCTGTCCCCAGATGGAAACTGTATTGCCAGCATCCCCAGGGAAATACTGTAAGGCAAGGAGCCTCCAACCGTGTTGCAAATGGAGAAGGAAAGATAAACGCCTAACATGGATAACTTGCTGGGTAATCTGAATTCTGCATGCGTACTAAATGAGCGTCATGAGGAACATCCTCTGTAGAAGACACCACCAGCCCCAGAATGGGAGGTGCTCCTTTGAGTAACATGAGTGGCTGCTTCCATGGCCCCACCTAAAACCATGGACCATGTGGGTTTGGAGGGCTGCGGTAGCATGTGTGCAATTTTAGATCATAATCCCTCTTGGATTTAGAAATTCTAATATTTCCAGCTGGTTCTGTGCAGTTTCGCTCCAGGAGAATCGAGGCCTTTGGACAATTTAATGGGAAAACATGCGTGGCCAATTTGGGAGACAGAAAACATTGTGTGCCCACTGAGAACTGTGAAGACGCTGAGGAGGACTGTGGAAACGACTTTAAGTGTGAAACAGGTAATCCTTGCGCTCTGAGCCATTATGGGTTTCGGTGTGCCCTCATGGGTAAAAGAAAGAAACACACTTCCAGGCACCCATGTTTCCAAACGTGAAAGGGGCCCCCAAACAGACCATCCACATGTTCTGTATATTCCGCTGTCAACTGTGTCTTCCCTGCACTCCAGCATTCAATGGCATTCGATAACTTGAGAGAGAGAAAACTTGGCATTAGCCACACCGTGTCTTCCTGATTTTGATTGCAGGCAGGTGCATAAAGAGGCGACTTCTGTGCAATGGCGATAATGACTGTGGAGACTATTCGGACGAGGACAACTGTGAAGATGACCCCCATACACCCTGCCGCAATAAAGAGGTGAAAGAGTCCGAGCTGGCACGGACAGCTGGCTTTGGGTCAGTATTCCACTCAAGTGTTCTGGAGGAAGAGGAGTGAAAATAATCTCTCTCTCTCTCTCGCCATGCTGAAGTGGCACAGGGACTGCAGTGGTGGGAAGAGTAGCCTGTGGGTGTGTATTCTGCTTGAATTATGTTTGAACTTGAAAGAAGGGAAGTGTTGAATAAGCATCTCAAGATAATTTGGACAAACTGCCTAACCTCAGTAGGTGTTGGTAAAATGGACTAGACTGTCAAGATATTAGATGACTTATTTCTGAGTCCAGAAAAAGATGGAATACCTCACTTATGAACCTCAGGAAGACCATAGCAATGTTGACATCACAGGTTAAGAGTGGAAATTGAATTGCCAGTAGTAGGTCCTGCAATTCCATTCAAATGTCTGAAATGCCAGGAAGACTGTGTCCCATTGGAGCTTCTCCTGGGTCTATACCTGGGGAGAAGTTCTCAGGAGACTCCAGCACTCTGGGGTTGACCCCAGAGAAAAAGGACAGAGAAGGCCCTTCCGAGGACAGCTGGTGATAGCATTGAGACTGTGGTTCCCATCACGAAGCTGAGGTCTTTTCCACTCAGCACATCTGGCCAGGTGCACTCTCATGAAAAGTCTTGGACAGTTTAGAACTCAGAGTTATACAGAATAGAAACCATTTGCAGAAATATGCGCTCGAGGAGTTGGGAAAATGACACAGGCCAGAAGTCCTTGACAGCTCCGTGCCATACAGTCAGAGGACATTCCACAGATGTCCCCGGCATCGTCTCCTTTCGTTATTCTGAACAGAAAAGATACCTTGGGTGGCTTTGTTGGCAATCTGTCCCCGACAGAGACATAAATGTTCCCCACCCAGTAGTATATTGACAGAAAGAGCACATGGCTCTATTTCGTCCCCCGAAAGCAATGTGTCTCTTCATCCTCATAATCCCAGTGCCTGGTTTATAGCAGGTACTTAACGAATATGGATGAGTACATAAATAGGAGAATAAATTAATGAATATAAGTGCTTTATCAAATATTATTAACTGGCATCAGGTAAGACTGAAACTGGGTCCCTAGAAAGAAATTTGTGTTCAGGACTCTGGCTCTGGGGACGGCCGAGGAAAGGAGCTGAGGGTGACAGGAAGAGCAAGGTGGATAGAGGTTGTCAAGCAGAGGAGCTATTCTCCCAGCAGGTGTTGGGTGATGTCTGAAGACCGTTTTGATGATCACGACTGTGGGGTGTCAGGTTGTGGGGCTTGGGGGAGTGAGTCCAGTGGTCAGAGGGCCTGCAATGCACAGGACAGCCAGCCCCAAACTCCAGGAGCGCTGAGGCCGAGAACGCCTGCACTAAGAAACTGGACAGTTCCTAAGACCTCTGCACAAGAGGTGTCTTCTCTCTCTCTGTCACAGGAAACATTCGCTTCCTCACTCACGAAAGAGAAAAATACCAGGGCACCAGACACCGAAAGTCAGGCGCCACACCAAGCATTTCATGCATCTTTTATACACTTTATAAAATCTCCCCAAGCAAACAGCATTCAAATATTATACACATGGGCTTGGCCCTAAGCCCAAAGGTAGGAATTTTGAATCAAATGCATGGTCTTGGCTCCCAGACTCAGCAGGCCCTTATAATATTTGGCGGAAATAGTATGGACTTGGCCAAAACCTTATAACCAGACTGCTACACGCTCCAATGCGTTCTGACTCTTCTAATTGCTTTCTCTGGAGGGGAGTGGGAGTGGCGAAAACCCATTATTACTTTATTTTGCTTGATTTGGAATCCAAGAAACAGTTTTCTTCCTAATCTAAACAAAAGGGCGGGAAGCAGGGAATTACATATGTTATGTATTCTCACTTAATGCAAATTTACATGGTTTCTTGTATAAAAAGGATACAGAAATCTTGGCCCATTTAGTTGAAAAACAATTATTTATAATTTTTTGGTTTCCTTTGTTCAGGGAAAATAAAATTTGTTATATAGCGTTTGCCAGGGAGTTTATTAGCGAGGCGTCCCGGAGAGCTGGCAAGGGCTCCGTGAGTTCCTCATGCTTTACTGCGGTCGGGGTTGGTGACAGGGAACTTAAACCCAAGTGTCTCTGACTTACATAAGCCTATTTTTTTTTCTACCTATGCCACTTTCCTTTTTCTTCTTCCCACATGCCTATCACCACCTCGTCACCTCTCCCACGTCACTACAGAGCACCCAGTGGACACCCTAACTTCAAAGCAAAACTAACTTTAGAAAATGAAACTCAAGTAGCACTTTTCACCTAAATATTTGACTTAAGAATATAGTAGAGTAGTATGAATTAGTAAATAATATTGAAGAAGAGCTTTCAAAATAACATGCTTTATTATAGTTATGATATTCTTCCATACCATTAATACTACATATGTATATACTCCGCATTTCCATTATGCTAACACAGGGCTATGGGACTACAGTGAAATAGAGGTAATAGACATAAACATCCTAATCATAACAGCATGCTTATAAACTGCTCCTCTACCATCCAGTCTAGAAAACCTCAACAGGTCTTATCAACAGTTATATCCAGTCAGATTCTTTCATACTTGAAAGTGACAGTACTCATAGAAATTAATGTAAACTTCATGTAAACTTCTTTTTACATTTGAAGGATTTATTTACTTGTTTATTTTTGAAGGACTCTCATTTAAATTCCTCTGTTAGGAGAATTCACTTACATCACTAATGTTTCAGTCTTATGCCTTGTTGGCATCTGAGATTCTCCAGAAATGTTTAGGGAAATCCCCAACTCATACTGCATTTACTGAAGAAAACATATATCCAAACCAGCTGCAAATTGTGTAAGATATGCAAGAAATGACTTTTTGTGTATGATCTAAGCCTGACAGCACTTAGGTGGAGGGACCTTTTTCTTCAGTTCACTTGGTAAGTTGGAGCTGCTTGTGGTTCTAGATGCAGGTGTGAAAACAGTCATCTGTAAGTGCTGCCAAAAATCCCAGTTTTTTTTTTTATTTCCCAGGCAATGACATTCTATCTATGAGAAGTTTTCATGTTTCTTGGCAGAAGAAAAAAGTTGGCTCATTCTAGACCAGACTGGCTGTCTCTATAGTAGTGGAACCAAGTCAAAAGTTTTGAAACAATTTTTCCTTAGTTGTGCTTTAGACTGTGGATCAGCTTCATTGTAACTTTCCAGATGGATTCAGCCAACTGGTCCACTTGCTGATCTGTAAAGCAATAACATTCAAACTGGGCTGTTGGTACCTTAGGGTGCAAAAAGACTTTCCAAGAGGGTAGGAGACTAGTACATTTTAAAATAATAGTTTCCTCAACTGTTAGTTACTTAATTAATCTATCTAACTCATGGTAAGTCATCAATTCCATATAAACATATTTTTCATAAAACTGATAAGCTTCATGACTCTGTGGCATTCAACTTGTCAAGTCTAGCCTCCTTTCTTAGCTCCGCTTTACAATGATCTATCTCCTACTTTCCAAAAGAAGACTACACCCCTCACCCACTTCACATGTTACAGTGGGGTAGAAAAAAACAAGAAACAACTTAAATGTTAGTCCTCAGTTGGACTCTAACACTCTTTAAGTCAAGTGGTCTCGATTTTTTTATTTATCAACATTAAAGATATCCTAATTAATTGTCAGATAATAGACCTTAAAAATTTTTGATGAAAGACTAGGATGTGATCTTTTCTTAGCCTAAAACTCAGAAGATCAAAGAACTGACTGACGTTGCTGTGACAACATTTTTCTATTCCTATCTACTTATTTATGTGAGTAAATTTGCTTGGTATTTACTTCTATAAAAATAAAGTCACAATTAAATTAATACTGAATCCTGTTTGTTTTCTAACAAAACAATAAGTAATATCCATCCGCAAAGTGAGAAGTGGTTCATTTTAACTATACGGCCAACCTTGAGCAAGACATTCGTGAATTACTTTCTTAAATTGCCTCCCACTACAGTTGAGCTATAATGTTCATTTTCTTTGTAGATTCAAAGCTTATTAAGTATGCACTGTTTATATAAAGATGTTTTTAACTAACCCACTGGCAATAGGGTACCCTTTTTATTATTAATATTATTCATTAACAATGGGTTTATAGTAAATCATCCACAACCTTTGACAAATTGCTCTTGAAATTAATCTGAATGTGTAATCTAGCACATGGGCATTAGGAATGTGATCTAGAACAATGGGAGAGTTTATGTTTTGTGCCAAACTAAGTTATAGATATCAGGGTCAAACTTCAGTTTTGTCCTCTCTGGCCTGGGGCCATTTATTCCAGATACAGCTTAGATGGCATTGACTCCCTCCAATTAACAAAGGTGACCTTTGCATAGAACGAACTGCTTCTTGTTTATCTGTTGTGTTTTGAACTACAAATCAAACTTAACTTTTTAAAGTTGAACAAGGTTCCTATTTCTAATTAAAGTTTGCCAAGTAAAAATACTTTATTAGCGGCGGGGGGGACGGGTGTGAGTAGAACTTCTGAGCATGCCTTGCCAGGATGCTGAAATTTTGGGTTTCCTCTTAGAAACATAGGAATAATATAAACCCAGAGGGAATGAGGTTCTTGACAGGCCATGAGACAACAGGACGAAAGGCTTATGTTTAAAGAGAAAGAGGAGAGGAAGATCCCCAATGTTGATTCACAGGTTAAAAATTACGTGCATGCATTATACTGCCCCCTTCTGTGGCACTGTGTTCTCAGATAATTTAAGTAAGTAATATCATAGCATCGACTCCTAGTTCACTAAAGGGGGCCAGCTAAGAGTTACAGCAATGAGTTAGGACTCTAGGTGCCAGGTGGCCCTGGCTCCACATTTATTGCATTTCTTTTGTCGGGCTCAAGACAGCGTCCTAGTTGCCTAGAAGAGTCTGCAAGGCTTTTCTGCGGTAGGCTGTCTGCCAGAGACACAGAGCAGAGCTGAACAGGCTCTTGCCTCCGTTCCCAGTCACATCACGCACATGCTGGGTGAGGGGACATGAGCCGAAGCTCTCTCTTTCCCCAGCTGCTGAGGGTTGCCTTGCACTTGCTCCTGCAATCTCCCTACCTGATGCCCCTGTGTCCATTCTCAGGATCAACATCTTGGGGATGGTCCCCCTATCCACGCCTTTTGACAACGAGTTCTACAATGGACTCTGTGACCGTGTTCGGGATGGAAACACCTTGACCTACTACCGCAGACCCTGGAACGTGGCTACCCTGTTCTATGAAGTAAGTCTCCTCAAAGGAAAACGCACTGCTCTGCTTTTAGTTGAAAATGGTTTCCATAAGTTGAATGCTACATAATGTGGAAAATTCAGTAATGTGAATATAAGATTGACTTAAAGAAGAGGAGGCATAACATGGATCTCTTCAGAAAATATAGTCTACAATCAACCTTCAGTAACATACACCTGCCTAGTGGTAGAGTTTTGGCAAATACCTAGACTCTATAAAAAGAATCTTCTAAGGTTCTGATAAAACTAAAAATTTAATTAGTGATGATTTACGTATTGCGTACACTGTTTTCATGCTATTTAAGATTGGTCTTTGCTAGCCTCTCCATGAAAACTTTATGCTTGTTTTCCTTCAACACTGCTCATAATAGAGCCTGCCTGACTGATGGGAGCGGCTATCTTCCTCACCTCACACCCCCAGGCTCTTAAGGAGCTATTTCTCCAAGGGAGTTTCACTTTCTGCAGCGCCACCCCAACTTGCCACCTTTCTGGAAGTCACTTGAATTCTCTAGAACCATCTACAAACTGGGCCCATTCAAAGGATTAACATTTATCACCTTTAGAGATACCTTCTTTGGTCTAAGCAAGATATAATAAAGAATAAAAATTAGCTTATTCTAAACAAGAAGCTAAAATAATCTATGTCTTTAAAGAGTCCCATTGGTTGACACAGTCCTTTCATAGCATTGTTACTCCCATGAGTTTGAGAAATGCGTATACTTTTAAATAAGTGTAGTTAATATTCCTTTGTATATCCAACAATGTTGGAAAGCAACCCTTACCCATTGTAGCCTGAAATGATCATGTTCTCCCATGAATGCTAGAGATTATAATGTTTGGACTATTTGGCATTTTTCTCACATGTGACCACATTGTCATATCTTTTGTACCTGTAAATTCAGAAAAGAGCCAGTTTCCCGCAAATCTCAGGGAACATTTTGAATTATTTATCTTTCCCCATCTTGCCAGGTTTACCTACTTTAAGCATATTTTTTGAGGGGAAAAAACGGTCATCTTTCTAGGAAGTATTACACATGCTCTTTCTTAAAAACAATATACCAAAGATAAGGTGACCCTTGTCATTGCTGATGGAAGTAGGTTCTTGTTGTGCTGTTTTATTTTGTTTTTGTTCTCAGGAGCACAGCATACAGTTTTCCTGTCTTACTCATTGTGACCAAACTTTTAGCTCCTCTATAGGGGTAGGAACTGCTAAGGGTGGGGAGCTGCCCTTGAAGCCACACTTAGAGAGTGAGCTCCCTGTTTGTCCTCACCTTCAACCTAGGACACTGATGTGCTTCCTCATTCAAAATGTTCAGAATTTTATGAAGGAGATGTGGTGTTTTCCATGTATGTTACCCCCAGTGGAGTTTGGAGAAGCGTTCTGTAACCAAACTCACCAGTATTTCTGCAGCAGAACTAGCCCGTGTTCACACAAAGAGGGAGAAATGGAGACCAGAAATAACGATTTGTAAGTCCAGATCAGATGAATGCCTCCAAATGAGCTTTGGCATCAAGGTTATAAAAGAAGCAGATAGGGATTGTGGGCCTGAATATTTATTCCATACCATCCGAGGAAAGTGCTGATGGAGGTGGTTTAACGCCTCCAAATAGACTCCTCGGTGCTACTACAGCGGATGCCCCTCCTCATTCTAATCCGTTATGATCTTAGAGAGTAAATAGCCAAGCTTGTTTGCATTCAATACATATTAGTTATCATCATTAGTTGTAATAGATCTGCATTTTAAATTGGATAATTTTTTATTATCTACTATGTGTCAAGCAATTTCCTAAGTGTTGACACTACAGTAGCATGTGAGTAAGAAAGACATGGTCCCTGACTTTATGGAGTCTGAAAGACTATTAAATAAGCAATTTTAAAAGGGAAAGGTGTTTTGTTTTATTGTAAAAAAAGGGCCATGAGAGCTTATAGGAAATGGATTTGTTAGTCTGTGGGATCAGGACTCTCTAATGTTTAAGCTAAGACTTGAAATAGGAGTAAGAATTAACCAGGGCAAGGGAATAACATGCACGTGTGCAAGTGTGTGGGTGAATGTATATCAGCGTCTACCTTGTTTGAGTTATGGGAGGATGGGGGGGGGGGGTTGTGTTAGAGAACATTCCAGAAAGTATTCAAGAGGGCCCTGTGGTGGGAAGAAGCACAAGCTATAGAAGTAGAAAGGTGGCTAGGGCTTGGGTACAATCACGAGAGTATAACTTGGAATAAGTCTAGTTTAGACTTTAATCTTCTAGGGAGTGGAAAGACTTTGAAACATGTTAAGCAAGGAAATGAGTCGGTTAGGTTACTCTTCTTCCCCTTTATTTTGTACCCTTTTCCCAGTATGCCTTACTTTAAATAAACTTAGGTGCATTTTTGTGCTTCCCAGTAGATGGTAACTTTCCTGTCTTCATCTGTTCAGGCAGCTATAACAAAATACCAGAGAAAAGGTAACTTAGAAACAACAAACATTTAGTTCTCACAATCCTGGAGGCTGGAAGTCTGAGAAAAGAGTGCTTGCATGATGGTGTTGGAAAACAGGCCTCTTGCGTCCTCACTGGAGGAAGGGGGCAGAGAGCTCTGTGTGGTTGCTTTCGTAAGAGCACTGATCCCACCCATGAAAGCTCCTCCCTAAAACCCCCTCCCCCCCGCCCCCCCCCCGCCCCCGCTCCAATACCATCCGATTAGACAGTAGTATTTTAACACTTGGATCTGGGGAGGAGAGTGCGTAAACATTCAGACCAAAGCCTTCCCTACGCAGAACGGCCACCCAGCGTGTGCTGCAGAGTCCGGTCCATGCCACCAACCGGAGATGGATGTCTCCTTCCCGGTACCACAGCCGCTCTCAGGGGACCTTGGGAAGAGCTTCACCATGGAGACCAGCAACTCACCCACTGACACCTGACAATAGCCAACTTGGCAAAGAAGGTTTTCATTGAAAGTTTTGCTTTTTAACTAGGCTGTCAGTTCAGTTCTTTTTTTCATGCAAAAATGAATGTGGGGGGGGGGGTGGATTTAAAAAGTCCAAACAGCACAACAGATTATGCAAAGAAAAATGTTTCCACTCTACATTCTCATTTCCCGGTCCCCCTTCTCAAGGACAAACGCTCTCTGTGGTTTGTCTATGTTTCCAGTAATTTTCCCTGAATGTACGTAGTTGTTTCTTTTTTTATTTTACTTCATTTTTACCTTCACAAGCAGTAGAGTATAAAAGCTAAGAGGCAGTTCAAGGCTCAAGTCCTGGCCTCTCTTCTTAAACCAATTAACATTGCGTGAAATACATAAACAAGTTCCTGGCCCACAGGCCATCCCAAAGGGTTAGCTTTATTTATTTTCTTTGTTTTCTCACAAGTGGAAGTGTGTTGTGCATTTGTTATGCCACTTGCTTTTTAATTAGGAATGTATTAATGTTTGAAAGCTGGCCATGTTCTACCCTTCATCCGCATTACCTCACCGAATCCTCACAACCACCTTCAGGCTCAGCGTGGTGCACAGCCCTGTGTCTCAGAGTCGCAATCAGCCGAGGCAGCAGAGGCTATGGCAACATCCTCCACGTCGGGGGCCTGGATGTGAACCCCTGCGCCCTCATCTCGGGGTCTGCACTCTCACCTCCTTTAAAGGCTCTGCTGTCTTTCCAATAATTATGGGTGGTTTTTTTTCTGTGTTAACAACACTTTGTTATTCTCTTTTAGACAAAAGCTGATAAAAATTTCAGAACTGAATATTACGAAGAACAGCTTCAAGCAGCCAAGCATGTCTTCCAAGAGACAACATCACAGCACGGTATGCATGTGTCTTTTAAATTCAAGCCGACTGAAAAATGGTCACCTGCTGTTGAACTTGGATATCCTGAAGAAGAAGAAAACTCAAAGCCTAATGATCCCCAAGAAGGTGTTCAAATTTCATTGGGATATATGTATAACAGAAGTGAAGTTTACCAACTGTTGATGTCACATTCTTCTCAGAAGGTAAGAACAAACACTTCATATAGAGAAGATGATGGGATACAAACTAACTGAACCTCTTCTTTTAAATTTAAATGTTTAGAGCAGATCAAGCTCATGAGAGAGAAAAAATTGATACTCAACAAAGCCTCCAATATATAACTAGAACACTAGTATTAAAAATTCCGAGCATTTTTTTAACTTAGATTGTGATAATAGATTGTTCAATGTAGACTATCTTCAGAATTACAACAAAAAATCATACTGCGTAATTTTGGTAATTCACTGCAACACCTTAAAATTGTGCACATTGCACTCCGGCCGGTGTGGCTCGGTGGACTGAGTGCCAACCTGCGAAACAAAGGGTCTCTGATTCGATTCCCAGTCAGGGCACATGCCTGGGGTACAGGCCAGGCCCCCAGTGGGGGTTGTTCAAGAGGCAACCACACATTGATGTTTCTCTCCCTCTCTTTCTCCCTCTCTTCCCCTCTCTAAAAATAAATAAATAAAATATTTTTTAAAAATTGTGCACATTGCATATGAAATCGTTATATTTACTTTGTAATCATACCTTTAATCTTAGACTTTGAAAATGTATTTGCTTATTAATATTCATGCCAGATTTCAATGTTTGTTTTATTATCTTTGGAAATATAGAATATACTTTCTGTAATCAGTATGATGCTTATAAAATGCTCATTCTTCCTTTTTTGGTATCACAATCACCTATTTAGATACCTTTCTCCACTTTGAAAATAATAGTAACTCACTCTTAGTACTTATGTTATGCCTAATGATATAACTTTTTTCTGGGTCTGTACATTGCCTTTGTATTCAGATGAATGCCCACCTAAAGTGTGCAACTGAAAAATCCTTTAAATCACTCAACAAATATTTCATTGTCGACTTACAATGTAAACAGGCATTGTTCCAGGTGCTTAAAATCCATTTGTGAATCAAACCAACAAAGAGCCCTTGTCCTGTCCTCATGGACAAGACAAAGTTCAACAGGGGAGACAAAAATAACAAACACAATGGCAAAGAAGGAAGCTATATGGTGTTTAGAAAATGGTAAGTGCTATGGAACAAAATGAAAAACAGAGTAACCTACAGGAAATCAAAAGTGTTGGGCAGATGGCAGTATTAAAAGGGAAGCTGGGGGTAGCCTTCATTAAGAAGATGAAATCAGTGAATATTTGAAGGAGAGTAGGTAACCAAATAGTTATATTTGGGATGATGTATCTGGCTGAGGGAAATTTTGGAGACAAATCTCTAGATTGGAACATACCTGCCCATTAGGCCAAAGTGAACCAAAAGACGAAGAAGCTAGCAAGATTACCTTGAACCAGATCATGAAGGGCCTCACAGCCTATTCGAAGAGTTTTCTTCATATCTGAGCAACAGGAGAGGTCACTGAAATGTTTTTCAGAGAATATTGATAGACCCTAATATATTTTAAATGATTGCTCTTGGTACCCAGTTAAGAAGAGATTATGAGAGTTCTGAGCAAAATCAAGAAGGCTTGTTAAAAGTCATTGCAGAAATCCAGGTGAGGGATGCTGGTGGTTCAGGCAGGAGAGTTGGAGAGTCTAAGGTCTTGGGCCTGAGCAATCAGAAGAACAGCGTTGCTATCAACTAACATGGAGGTAACTTCAGGTAGAAGAAGTCCGGAGGAGAACACCAGGGGTAAGTTTTAGTTAGATTAAGAATAAGATTTCTATTGGACATCCAATGGGAGAATGTCAAGCAGAAAGCTGGTGTTTTGATTCTAGAGTTTGGGAAATAGGTCTGGGCTTGAGCTATGAACTTGGGAGTTATTATACATAGATGGTGCTTATAGTCCTAGGGTTTGGTGAGCCCACTAACAGTAAATATAGATAGAAAAGAGAAAAAGATCAAAGACTTAACCCAAGAAACTACGATAGAATGTCTGAGGCAAGAGCAGGAAGCAGCAAAGGAAAACAAGGTGCAGCTAGTGGAACGTCCTAGAACCTTGCTATTCAAAGCATTGTCCATAGACCAGCAGCATCTCCATCTGTGGGAAACTAGAATTGCAGACTCTACCCCAGACCTACTGAATCAGAATTGCGTTTTAACAAGATTCTCTAGATGATTTGTTCACAATTAACAGTTTGAAAGGAACTGTCCTAGAAGACAAGAAAAGAAGCCCTACAAAGGAGAAAGGAGTGGTAAACTGTGTCCAGTCTGCTAGTATGCATGTCAGAGAAGATGAGGGCTGAGAAACAACTGACCTTGGCATTTTGAAGGTCATTGGTGAGCATGAGAAGGGAAGTCTTGTTGGGGTTGGAGGGACAGCAGCATGACTGGCTTAGATTTAAGAGAAACTGGAAAGAAAACTGGACACAGGCAGTTTAGAAAGCTCTTTAAGAGAAGTTTGCCTCTAACGAATTCAAAGAAATAAGTAGCAATGTTTGGATAAGAGAGGTCAAGAGATTTTTTTTTAAATTTCTGTAGATGGGAGATACAGCAGTATGTTAGAATAAAAATGACCTAAGGTCTACCTCTAAAGTAAACTGAGCCAAAGAACATAACATCTTTCTGACAATTTTAGCAACAGGCAAAGGAATCCAATATGTTTTGGGCATCTTTGAGACTTCATTGAGAGTTATTATGCAAGTCTTCAGATGGAGGACACATATGACTTATTATATCTGCAGTAAATTTCTTTAGGATTTTTGTTAGAAACTGAATCACCCACTATCACCTACAGTTAGGTCATGCAGTGTGACCAATTATGCTTCTATAACATGGGAAGTTTGGTGTGATATTCATATGCACTGAGTTATACCTTTGAAAAATAATAAAATGTTTTCAACTCCCGTGCAGTCAACCTGTGTCAACCACAACTACAGCAGGGGAATTTCAAAAGAATAAACTGCAGAATTGTGGATGCCAATTTCAGTTTTGTTTTGGCTTAGACAGTAGAGCATAGTTCTACTAAGTTTGGTCACATAGTTCATCACTGCCCCAGTTTCCTCTTAGTTATCTAAGCCATCACCCCAGAGAACATTTAACTGTTGAGCTGTGTTAGGTTGGCTTGAGATTCACGTCTTAAAATATTGCCTATTCCATTTCGGTTATCAAAGCTTGAGAGAATATAGTGGAAAGAAGAGGAGACCTAAGACCTAGGTTTTTAGTACCAATTGTTGCCACAGACTATTTGTGTCTCCTACAGCAAATAACTTTTTACCTTTTGATCAGTTTCTTCACCTGCAAAATATAAAGATTGGGCTTCATATATAACATCTACATTTCCTTCCATTGTTAACATTTTAAAATAAACTTAGTGAGGTATAATTTGCATACAATAACCTATAAAGATTTTGAGTATATAATTCCATGAGCTTTGACTATTGTATCCATCTGTGTAACCACCTCCACAAACACGATGTAGCACATTTCCATGACCTCAAGAAAATTCCTTTATGCCCTTCACGGTCAGTCCCCTACCACCTGAGAGGAAACCAATGACAAGATTTCTCTGACCATAACTTAGTTTCAGCCATTCTAGAACTCCATAAAAATGGAACCATACAGCATATATTCTTTTGTGTCTGACTTAATTCAGTGAGCATAGTATTTTTTATTTACTTACGTTGTTGCAATATCAGTGGTTCCTTTCTTTTTATCGCTAACTGGTATTCTTTCATGTGAATGTATAATTTGTTGATTAACTTCCCTGTCGATGGACATCTGAGTCATTTCCAATTTTAAGCTATGCTGACTAAAGCTCCTAAAAAAGTCTTCTGCAGGTCTTTCTGTGGACAATTTTTTTTCATCTTAGGTAAATCTGTCAAAGTGGGCTTGCTGGCCATGGGCTTGCTGTTCGTTTGCTTTTATAAGAAGCTAACATCCTTCCAAAGTGGCCACACCATTTCCCGCTCCCACCCGCAGTGTAGGAGCGGGCCCAGCCGCTGCACACCTTCACCAACAGTGGGCAGCATTAATAGCCATTTAAGTTGGCCATTCCACTGGGTTAAAGCGGTGTCTTACCGTTACTGCCAAAAAATGGAATACCTGTAAAAATTGCAAATTCTGTGATTTTTAAATTTGAAATAATGGTGATAAAACTCACATTTATTTTCTTCTTGTCTACAACAAAGGAAAAAATATTTCTGCATGTGAAAGGAGAAGTTGATCTGGGAAGATTTGTGATGAGAAGTCGGAATACCATGTTGACATCAACTTTCTTGGATGATGTAAAAAACCTGCCAACCACCTATGAAAAGGGGGAATATTTCGCATTTTTGGAAACCTATGGAACTCACTACAGTAGCTCTGGGTCTATGGGAGGATTATATGAACTAATATATGTGTTGGATAAAGCTTCCATGAAGGAAAAAGGTATACCTAGAAATAGAGGTCTAACTTCTAATAATGTTTGAACCAACCATTATTTCTATTGCTAACCTCTTTCAATGGTAAAAGTGTCTTGCATAGAGTTATGTAACCTGCTTCCTTGAGAGAACATTCTCCCTGCCTTTTGGCATCTAAAACCCTATCAAACAGAAAATTGACTTTTACCTCAGACAAGAGGACTTCATCGTGCACTAGTCAGCAACAGATATTGTACTGCAATTTAATATTATTTGGTAAAGTTGCTTTCAGCGAAGTCCTGTTTAAAAGGTGAAAGGAAGTACAAGAGACACAATGGATTATACAGCCTATTTCTTATTCAGTAGGCTGGTTCAATTGTATGAATTATAGTTTTCTTCCAAAGGATTCTGTAGTACTGGGAGGGAAGAAGCAATGTTTTAACATCACATACATCTAACATCCTAAAGCAAGGGTAGAAAATGAGTTTTACCTTGGATGATGACAATTCCAATCATATGGTGGTAGTTTCTGATCGCACCTTAAATCATAGAAGGAAGGCCGTGGTTGACCATCCATGTTTGCCATGTGTACAGGATAGGCCTGTGTGTTATGTAATTGCCATTCTGGCCCAAAGACTGTATCGAAAGATTTTAAGAACAAAGCAGATGCAAAAGACTATGTGAATAAGTCTTATTTATTAATTTTTTAATTATGGTAAGTTATTACTTTTCTTAAAGAGGTGATAGATGTCGGCATGTCTCTTCTCGCTGCCCTCAAAATGTTGGGGTGCGTCTTTGAGGAAGGGAGATGTTGCCAAAATTCACCTCCAGGTGTCCTTCCCTATAGCCCCTGGCAGTGTTAAGTGAAGAATGAGATGCGTCTATGGTTTTAAAGCCAAACACTGTCCCTGCGGTGGGCAAATACACTATGAATGAAATAAATATGTCGTAGATAGAACCAGTTGCTCTTAATGCCTTAGTCTAATTTGAGCAAGTAGAAGAAACCTTACTTGGGGAAGGAAAAAATGAGGTTTCTTGGCTTATACTGCCTCACAGTGCTAAAGTCTGCAAAATAGCACTATGAGGTCTCTGAGCCCTGCCTGGTAAGCTGTATCGATAGCTATCCCTGGGGAGGGGCACCAGAGCACTGCGGCTTGAGCACCTTAAAAATCAGAGGAAAAAGGCTCGGCAGGGGTGATCAAAACCCAAGAAACCCTTCAGGCTAAGAGCTTTGGGGTGGGAAAGCTCCAAGGGCAAAAATCTTTAATCTTATAGAGAACTATAACTGTTGCTGGTGAAAACAAGTTCTTGTGGTGTCACGAGAAAGGAATTTCAAAGGGCACAAACACGGGAAAAGTTTAAGCATAGTGGCAAGATGTACTGGCGTGAAGGGAGATGATGCACCCTCAGGGATGGGGAGGGCGGGCAGGCTCTAGTAGCAATTGCTCTGAGGTCCTTGATAATCCTCCATATTTTCTTGGTTTGGGGAATGAGCAGGCTTGCCTTCAAACTATCCAACCTGCTTCCTGGGTTTTCCCAGGCTTGTGCCAGGTTCTCCCACAAATGAATCCTTTTCGTGGACCTTCTGGGGTTCTACGCCCTCATTCAATCCAATCCATTCCCCAGATTTTCCCAGGCTAGATTCTGCCCCTGCAAGTTGCCACTTTGGCTCCCACTGCACATGCCCCAAAGTTCTGTTGCACCATCTGGTTTCTACTGCACATGTGCTTAGCAAAGGAGTTTCCCCTGCTCTTCTAATCCTTCCCTTGGTAATCCCAGTTAGTAACCAGTAATGGATTCTTCCTGCCCAATTCAGGGATCATGTCCCCTTGGAGGAGGATGCAGCTGCCCCCTGAAGAGACTGTGAATGCTGTGGCTTTGTAGTGAATGGGACTTAATGTCTGACTTAGCTCCCTAGTAAATTAGGCTTAATATCTGATTCAGCTTCCTAGTTTCTTTGGCTTAATGTCTGATTCCATTTGCACCCTTCCTTTATTTATAACTAGCTAACTATATACACTAATATAACCAGTCTAGTATGACCTATCTCCCCTTTAAACAAGGGGTAAATTTATATGTCCTTTGCCATTAAATTGTCAAGCAAAGTCAAAAGGAGGTCACTGGAATCAAATATGAGGACGAAGCAGGACATACGTAACCATGCATTTATGTTTAATAAGTATGTCTAGGAATCCAAGTATGCTTCTTACAAAAGAGCAAAACTGGAGTTTATCTATGATATTTATAGATATTGTCTAATAATTTTCAACTAAATACATTAAACAGATGTTGAATTAGAGGACGTGAAGAAGTGCCTTGGGCTTCATTTGGATTTGTCTGCGAATGTTGGAGCTGAACTCGAAGTAAAGGGGTATAAAAATGATTGTGTACGTAGAGGTGACGGTAAAATTGGTGAGTATGGCCTAGCTTATTAAATTAAAAAAGGGGGCCCCGGTTGGTATGACTCAGTGGGTTCAGCACTGACCTGTGAACTGAAGCGTCATCGGTTTGATTCCTTGTCAGGGCACATACCTGTGTTGTGGGACAGGTCCCCAACTGGGGGTGTGTGAGAGGCAATGGATAGATGTTCCTCTCCCTCTCTTCCCCCCCGCCCTTAAGCTCTCTCTGAGATAGATGGATGGATGGATAGATAGAAAGACAGACAGACAGATTAGATAGTTAGATAGATAGATGATAGATAGATAGATAGATAGATAGATAGATAGATAGATAGATAGATAGATAGATAAAAAAGGGAGGAGGGCATGTCAATTAGCACTGCCCTGTCACTGGGAGCCTACTTATTGTTTACCATCTTTATTTAAAAAGAGAGAAACAAAAAAACAAGAAGTGCTTAAAAATTATTTTCTCTTTATAGTGGTTTCCAAATTGTTATAAACACAAGGCACCCTGGGACATGTGCTCACCGGCGCCATCACTGGGCAGGTTATACAATGCACAGTTCTAGGGGTGCTGTCCATGCTCCAGTCATTATAGATTTCTACATTTGTGATGGCAATGGTAGAATAACATCTTAAGGAGATAATTTTCTTTTTTTCCCCTAATTTTAACAAAACTTCTAAAAGGGCTAGTGACAGTTACTGTACGTGTCCATTAAGAAAGAAGACCAAAACTCTCTTTCTTTTTTTTTCTTTCTTTCTTTATTTTTTAAATACATTTGTCTCTGCCTCCCCCCCACCACTTTCCCTTGCCCCCTCCCTCCTTCCCTCCCTTAGCTCTTCCCCTTTGGTTTTGTCCATGAGTCCTTGCTATATGTTCCTTGACTTTCTCCTTCCCTTCCCTTTCCCTGCCCCCCCTCCCTCCTTCCCTCGTGTCTCTGTTGATTTCTTTTCCTTTCAGTGTTGCTGGTCGTATTTCCCTTGCATCTTTGTATTGTTGGTTAGGTTCCGCTTATAGGTGAGATCATATGGTATTTGTCTTTCGCCCCCTGCCTTATTTCGCTTAGCATAATGCTCTCCAGTTCCATCCATGCTGTCACGAAGTTTAGTAGTTCTTTTTTTCTTTCTGCTGCGTAGTATTCCATTGTGTATATGTACCATAATTTTTTGATCCAGTCATCTACTGATGGGCATTTAGGTTGCTTCCAACACTTGGCTATTGTAAATTGTGCTGCTATGAAAAAAGAAATTAAGGAAGACACAAATAAATGGAAGCATATACCGTGCTCATGGATTGGAAGAATTAATATCATCAAAATGTCCATACTACCCAAAGCAATTTATAGATTCAACGCAATCCCTATTAAGATACCAATGACATATTTCACAGAACTAGAACAGACATTTCAAAAATTTATATGGAACCATAAACGACCCCGAATAGTCGCAGCAATTTTGAGAAAGAAACACAAAGTAGGAGGGATCACAATACCGGACATCAAACTCTACTACAAAGCCACTATACTCAAAACTCTCTTTCTAACTCAGCCATCCACCTGACTTGAAATCCCTAATCCACTTTCACACAATTGGTCAAGGGGCACAAACTTACAGTTAGAAGATGAATGAGTATTAGGCATGTAATGTATGACATGATGACTATATATAATTAACACTGCTATATGGTATATTTGCAAGTTACTAAGAGGATGGATCCTAAAAGTTCACATCACAAAAAAAATTTTTTTGTAACTATATGATATGATGCATGTTAAATAAACTTATTGTGTTAATTCTTTTACAATACATACAGGTCAAGTCATTATGATATACACATTACATTTATACAGTGTTGTGTGTCAATTTCAATAAAACTGAAAAAAAAAGAGAAATCCCTAATCCATACTTATCATTAAACCAATTCATAACCCTTTTAAAAATATAAATATCTTTAGTATAAATATTACTTCTATTGCTAATCGGTAGCAGATTTACAAGCATGAGGCAGTGCTAGAATTCTCAAGTTTTACTCTAATCAGAAAAACCTGAGAGCATTTTCTGAAATACAAATACTTAAGACACCCCTTTACAGATAGTGGCAAAACACAAAATTAAAAAACCTAATTTTTTTAAAGCACAGCAACCACTAACATGTGGCCATGATTGGGAACCACTGATGAATTGAAAAAAAAAACTTTTTTAATTAAAAAAAAAACCCCTGACCTTTCCATCAAATGTCCTAATTTCAATATTTGGCCCTTAAACTAACTGTGTGATTGGGGGCTAGTCATTCCAACTCTCTGAGTCTCAGTTTTCTCATCCACAAAATTGAGGGAGGTTAAAAAAATCACCTTGCAAATTTTTTCTGGTTCAAAAATTCACAAGTCTTAAAGATTCGCAAAAGTTTGTTGAAAGTGGTTTAGTTTGGAGAGATAGACTGAGGGAGAAATGGGTAGGTATTCAAGGTAGAAAGAAATTTTGCTTTTCATTTTATTCTGTTTGCTGCCCTTTGATTTTTTACAATATTGAAATAGTTTAAGGCAAACCAATGTAAAATATAATTATGAAGGTAATTCTGCAACAAAAAATATTATATAGTACAGTTAAACTCATGTTTGGTTACCATGTGTGCACATAAATAAGTGATTAACTTTGAATTACCAATGTATCTCAGTCATGGTACCTTTTTTTTAAGAAAAAGATGATTGAAGTCTACAATCAGCTACTAATAAAAATTGCCCTTAAAGATTTGGAGTGAAAAAGTTGCATACATAATACTTACAAGTAAAATTCAATAAATATATTAGACTGTACTTTACAAAAGGAGTTCAATAAATGTTTACCAAATACCATAGAATTAAAAATCCTTGACTTACATTCTCTGTCTCTTCTCAGTAAACATCACTAAGGACGGCATCATCGATAAGGTTATTTCACTCATCAGAGGAGGAACCAAACAATATGCACTTCAGCTGAAAGAGAAGCTTCTCAAAGGAGCCAAAGTGATGGATGTGGCTGACTTCGTAAATTGGGCATCTTCCTTAAGTGATGCTCCAGTGCTCCTAAATCAAAGGGTAAGGAATGTTTATTTTCAAATAGAAGATCTTGTCATTCTCTTATTACAGGTATTTGAACTGTTGGTTCAAATGAACAGTTACTTTCATCTGAAAGAGGTGTGAGCATTCAAATGCCCATCCACCTCATCCCCTGATAGAAGCATGGCATAGAAGAACGACACAGGTTGTGGCATCGGACCAACGCAGGCTGAGCTTGGGTCCCTGTCCCTCGCTAGCTGTGTAGTCATTTCTGACTTCTGCAACACTAAATTCCCCAGGGCTCCGGGTTTATTTTAAGGATCTAATGAGATTGCATGTACAGAGCCTGTAGCACAGACTGGCACAAAAGAAGTGCTCAGAAATTGTGAGTTCCCTTCCACCTGCCCCTGGTTGCCCTCACCTGTGGGGGGCATCACACTACCACTTCCAACCCCGGAGAACCGTATTTATTGAAGCCGTAGAGAAAGTGAAGTTCATAAGTGCTCTTTTATGAGAACTCAAGGGAGATATTATTCCTTAGCCTCAGTTTCAAGGATCATTTTGTTTCTCTTGGGAATCAGATACTTCTTCTTTTAAATGCGTGTGATGATTAAATTCATTTGTCTTACTCAATGCGCTAGAAAATAGGACCAAATTTGTGACCCACCTTGTGCAAATGAGTGGGTTCTCCTGAATTTTGGGCTTTTGTGTGGCTTTTACCTCCGTCCTGCCTTTTCTGTTCTCAGTTCTCCTTTTTTCATTTCCCTCAACCACTCTTATCTACCCACATGTCTTTCTGGAACAACTAGGGTAATTAGGAACCAAGTCACCTATGATTTTTTGTTACGTTGTGCACCTTGGCAGTGATGCACCAGATGTTAAAGAGCACCCGCATTTTAAAGGGCCGTGGTGCTCTGTGTCATAGTCGTTATAGTTCCAACCACACAGTGAAAATCATTCCTAACTCTCTTTTATAGTGATGAAAATAACTCTCATTCAACAAACTACATTTGGTACATATAGTTTAATTAGTTTGGAAACCTGTAAGAAACCTTAATACCTAATATAAAAATATAATATTTAATATAATAACCCAAGTACTTAATATTAAACTATATTGTATTTTAGCAAGTTTCATAATTGACTACATCCCCTGAAAACATATCTGTCTAAGAATGGTAGAATGATAACGTTAGTGAAAATAGGGGAAAAGTTATAACTGTTTTCTTACTCAACAGAAGGCCGAAGTTCATCAGAAAAAGATGTGGCTCTTCAGGAAAACTTCACAAAGTTCATTTTAATTGCTCTTTGTTTCCTTGTGGGATTTTTTTGACTCTGGGGTTTGAGGGTCCTCTGAAGCTGCTATTATTATATGTACTTCATCTCTATCTCTTTGAACACCGTTTATGTATTTCATCCAAACTGTATTTTCTCCATGATCCCCTATTCCTGTATCTTAGGTTATCTGGCCTTGACTTTCCTTTGAAAGGTAAAACAAGATGAATTTCTTTCCTTAAAAATAAAAAGAACTCATCCACATGCTTACATTGTTTGTGCCAATGTGGCAATGTTGGTAAGTGGCTTCTATTTTCCAAATAAATGTGACATAGCTGAAATTCATATCCTACATACTAATCCATACTGGGCTATCCTGGCAGACTGTCCTGTTGGCTTTGTAGAAGCTCCTAACATATTCTGGATATGAGACTATTCTACTTGAAAGTGTTAGAAATGTCTTCTTTTACTAGAGGACTTTCACCCTTTAATGGTATTTTTTTGATCATCAATTTCCTCTTTTTTATTTTTTATTTTGAAATACTTTTAGACTTATCATAAAATTGCACAAATAGTACAGACAGTAAAATTGCAAAAACAGCACAGAGTTCATATATACCCTGTACCCAGGAGCCCCCAATATTAACAACTTAACATGTGATAGTGGTATTTAGCAAAATCAGAAAGTTCACGTTGACTAAATCATAGACCTTATTTAAATTTCACCAGTTTTTCCTATTCTGTCCTTTTTTCTGTTCCAGGATCCAACCAGGACCCCATGTTGCATTTAGTGCTTGTGTCTCTCTAGTCTCCTCCAATCTGTGACAATTCCTCAGACTTTTCTAGTCGTTCATGACCTTGACACTTCTGATGAATATTGCTCACTTCTATTAGATGTCTCTCAATTTAGGCTTAGACCAGATTGAAGCTGTAGATTTTTGTAAGAAGACCCCAAAAGTGATGTTATGTCCTTCTCAGTACATGCTGTCAGGAATTATGAGGTTGATTTTTTTATTTTGATATAGTTAAATGTATATTTCTTTTCATTACACTTAGTGCTTTTGTGTCCTATTTAAAGTCACTCTCTACCTCAAGGTCTTAAAGATGCTCTCCTATATGTTACCTTCAGATGCTTTATTGTTTTGCTTTTATATTTTTATCTACAATAAACCTAGGGTTGGTTTTTGTGTGTGTGTTATAAGTTAGAATGTCACTTTAAAAAAAAATCCCCTACGATTCTCTCTTTGTTCTAGAACAAGTTAAATTGTATTTATATCTCTGAAAATCAAATGTCAGTCTATTTTCAAAGTACTGTGGCTTTTTAGTAAGCTGCTTTTAAGATTTTCTTGATTATCATGGTGGGTTTTGTTGGGTTTTTTTTTGTTTTGGGTTTGTGTTTTCTTTAGCAATTTTACTCTGATGTGCCTAGATGCAAAAGAAAAATTTTTAATCTTGCTCTTCGTTAATGGGGTATCTTGATGTCTGTCACCATGTCTATAGTGTTCTCAGCCATTAATCTTAAAATATTTCTTTTCATATATTCTCCCTTTATGGGACTCAAATTATATGCATCTTTTACCTTCTCACTCTTTTGTTTTCTGCCTTTTTCCTGTATTTCCCAAACTTTTATCTTTTCATTATCTCATTGTCAATAATCTTTCTTCTGACCTGTATTTTGGGTCATTAACTTTCCTTCAGTTGTGTCACATCTGCCCTTTAATGAGTTAATTAATTTGTTTATTATAATATCAAGTTCTAATATATCTGTTTATTCTTTTCAAATCTTCCATTTAAAGAAAAATAATTTCCTGTTCTCTGCAAGCATTTGCAACCTCATCTTATCCCCTCTGCTTATGAAGTTATTTTAAAATCTGTGTCTGATACAAATCATCTCACCCCCCCCCCTTGCTCTGTTTCCAGTTTCTATTATTTCTTTTTTTTTTTTACTCTATTTTTATTGTTAACACTTACAGATGTCATCACTATTGCCCTGCTTTGCCTGCCACCACCCAGCCCCCTCCTCCCTTCCTTCTGGCTATCACCACGTTGTTGTCTGTGTCTATGGGTAATGCATATATGTTCTTTGGCCAATCCCTCTATTTTCTCTTATTTCTGTGGTTTTCGGTCATGTCTCTTTGTTTCCTTGTGTTCCCAGTTATTTCTATTGTGGGCTGGAGATTATACTTTAAAAATTGTTGTAAGAGCAGCATGAGACCTGAGATGATTTAATTTTCCCTCAAAGGAAATATATATTTACCTCTGGAAAACGTCAAGTATTAATAGTTCAGGATTATTTTAACCCAAACCACGTTGTGTTGCAGTCTGTACTGGGGCTGTGCTGCTTCGGCTTGCCTCTTGCTTCTAGGGCTGTAGTCCTTTGGGTCAGGACCATTTGTGGGCCTGAGTTCCAACCTTTTCCCCAAGTCCAGTAATGTGTTTTGTCTACCACTTAGCTACCTGACTGTCTCTTCCTCAGTTAGGAAATGTGCCAAGAGAACTGGCGGCCCCCAAATATTGGGCTCACCTCACTGAATTTTCATCTCCTTCCAGTTCTTTCCTGAGGCGGACTCTGGAGGTCCCTGTTGGGGCACCAACTGAGGTGGAGACTGACTCTGTTCCATAGAGCCACTCCGGGTCGCCACAGATGGGGAAATAAAAGAAGTCACCCCAGACACTTTTCTCGTGGCCTGCCAAGGGAAGGGGGTGGCACTTCCCTCTAGTGGAGAAGGCCCCGAGCCCTTCTCTTGAAGCAGCTTTTATTAGAACCATATGCGCAGGGGTATGGATGCAAAGCTCATCAAATCAATGTCAAAAGGCTATGTTTACAGAAAACAGATAGAGATCACAGATAACAACTGAAGGAACTCCGGAGATTTGCCTCAGGTTGGGGCCTGTGAATAATGTAAATTTCCTTCCCAGCATGAGTCGGTTATCATAGCTTTTGAGGGAAGAACAAAGCATGCTTCAAGGAACTACCTTCTAGGCCTGATTTCCCCCCAGGAACAACCCGATCCAGTTTAAAGCTGTACCTGCCTTTAGTATTGTTTCAAGCCTGAACCAGGCAGGCAGAGCAGAGCTGCCAAGACTTCTTTCAGACAGAAGGAGGACTCCAGCCATATCAAAGCCGAGGGGTGAGGGTCTTTTCCCTCTTCTCCATGTCCTCCAAGTCTTTCCCTGATGGCCTGTGTGACTGTGCCTGTCTTAGGTTGCCCCTGCCATCAAGGGGTCTTACCCATCGTTGACTAACCAGCCATCTTCCGGGGCCAAGCAGGGTGAGGTGAGGGAGGCAAGGGCTGCACCCCTGCCAGGGGGACAGGTTTGGTCTCCTCAGTGGCCTATTTTCCCAAGGCCTCCTTGCTCAGCTCCAGCCTTGGGGCCCTCTTGCCTGTCAGTGTAGCTACAGTCCCTGAAACCAGGCAGATGGTTCCCAACACTTTTTTATCACCTTGTTAGTTCTCCAGATCCCTCAAGCAGATTTTTCATTTTGGTTTTATTTTGTTCAGCTTTCTTATTGTGCCTTGTAAAAGGATTAGCTGACAATATTTAACCAGTCATGACTCTTCTGTGGGGATTCCTGGTATATATTTTACATATTCTGTCTTGACTCTTTAGATTCCAATTTCTTTTAAATTTTGTGGTCTCATTTCAAAGTGCTATGCCACCAAAGGGCCTCAATTTGTTACAATTCTCTCACTCAAACAGCTGTTTGTAGTCACATAATTTAATTTGCTTAAATTTAATGGACATATGTTCCAAGTTTTCATATGTGTTATGGTACCTTCATTAGATGCTTGATCTTAGCCAAAAGGTCAAGAAGCAATGGTATCTCTGCCAAACAAACTTTTTGAATTCTACACAGCATGACTGCAATACTCTTCTTTCTTGCTGGACACCTTCAAATCTTAGCTTAATAGTCATTTTCTCAGGAAAGCCTGTACGAGCTTTCCCTGATTCAACTGTAGCAACTTTCTATCTTATTCCATAAATTTAAGGCTGCAAAATAAATCATTTTACTTAATTTTCTTTAAGTCTAATTAAATTGAACATCAAGATCCTACCCCTCCACACCACTGGAAAATTTATCCCTCATTCATTTGTTGGATGGAGTTCAGGGTCCTTTCTTGTTGCTTAAATTGATACAAGAATTTTGATGCTTCTGTTGGGGAAATGAGAATATGAGACATGTAAGTATTTAATCCGCTGTGGTCACCCTGAGAACCTCATTGATTGCATTCACATGTTCCCTGGAGGTCAAGCGGTTCCGAGCCTCCCATGCCAAAATAACTACTAGGGACCAAATTACGATTTCCCTCAACTTGAGGTACATGTTAACTCTGTCCCCTTCCTGGCCTAGAGGAAATTCCTCCTTCAGTGGCATTCTTCTCATACTTGTCCCAGAAAAAATTTCCCAATGAATTCAAGCTTTTCCAGAAAAAAAGTCAATAAAGAGTTGACCTTCAGGGCAGTCTGGACTTAGCCTTTCACACAAGCCTCCTCTTAGACAAGACAAGCACCTGGCTATATTCTGAAAGAGGAGAGGAGAGGAGAAGTCAAAAACACCTCATAAAGTAGTATGCCAATAAATTATACTGCCAAAAGCTTAAATCCATGACTGTTTGTTTTTAAAACACATACACCCATCCTTTGTAGCAATATCATAGTTCCCATTTAAATTTATCTATATGATTATTTTAACATCAGTCTCCTCACTTCCATAATGTCATCTCCGTAACCAGAGAGATCATGACTAATTTTGGTCACTAGTATAGTCTCAAAGGCTACAATCATATCTGGCAATATCCTTCAATAAGCGTTTGCTGAATTAGTTAATTAATGAACAAATAATTCCGTAAAGAATTTTACAAGCTCCATCAGTAGAAAAAGACCTAAAATTAAATGTTTTGCTTTCTTGTAGCTGTCTCCTATATATAATCTGATTCCATTGAAAATGAAAGATGCATACCAAAAGAAAGAAAATTTAGAAAGAGCCATTGAAGATTTTGTCAATGAATACAGTGTAAAAAAATGCCAGCAATGCCAAAATGGGGGTACTGTTCTTCTGCTGGATGGAAAATGTATGTGTACTTGCCCACTCTTATATGAGGGAATTGCCTGTGAAATCAGTAAACAAAGAAGTCCTTCAGGTGAGAACAAGTTATTTGTATTATTAGAGACAATAATATGTATTTGGGGGTTATTAATCTGAAAATCTTGTGTCTCATCTATCTTAAGTGTCAACCTGATGCTATGCAATCCAAAGAGCATTTGTATTCTCCCCTAATCCATGCTATTGGTATGCAGGACCTCCATTTTCCACCTGTTTTTCTCTTCTATCACTAGTCACATTTACTCTCCCTACACAGATGAATATTCCCTCTAGTTTGGAAATGTATCTTGTAGTTTAAATTTTAGTCTCTTCCCAGCACCTAGATAGAATCTGGCACATTATAGTATGTAACACGCTGAGGGGATGAATAAATGGATAGGTGAATGGACCCGAAGTTAAAGTCCTATTAATCCTTAAGGTTTGATAATGCTTTGTTTTCTCTAGTATCGTCCTGTGAAGAGAAATAGAGTTGTTGGCTTCCCTGAGATGACAGGGAAGGAAAAAGACAAAGAACACCAGGATTTTCTATTTAAGATGCTGCCCGTGGAGATCGTCCTTGCTGCCAAATGAAAAGCAACAAGCTTCATGAAAAGTCTACCATCCCTGCACTCTCATCTCTCAGATCCACGATGCTTCTTTTCCTTCTTCACCTCCTATGATGTATCCATTTTTCTTTTCACCAAGGAGGAGAGTCAGCAGTGAGATACGCCAGGATGCTTTCTCCCACAAGCAATGCCAATCTCTTGCTAACAAAACAAAATTAAATTGAAAAGAGAATGTTGGTTAAAAAGACTAAAGTAATATTGCCAAAGTGCTTTGTAGGATTAATATAATCTGCTAGATCTACTACCACAGTCTGTGCCATGCAGTTTCGTTTCTGTTTACTTAGTTTCACCTTTTTTGGTCCTCCGCTGTTACATTCACACATTCATTCATTCAGTAAATCCTTACTGAGCACCTAGCACAGGCATAGCCCTCTGCTTGTTGGTCTTAGCTCTCCAATTTAACTCTTCTTGTCCACAGGAAAAAGTCTTGAACAGCAATTTATATGATTCAACTTAGTACCTACCTTTATGACTTGTGTAAGATAAAGTTACACATAAGAAACTGCTTAAGGGAACTGGTTGTACTATTTTATCATCGGCTAACGTGGGAGTTAAGGCCTGAGATCTTTGAAAAGGTCTGATAACTGCAAGGACCAAAGGAAGGAAGAGAGGGAGGGAGGGAGGAAAGGAGGGAAGGAAAAAAAAAAGAAAGGTTCAAAGTACCAAGGGAAAAATGCAAAATCTAAGTTAATGAATGTTTAATTAAATGTCAACAATGTGTATCATGTTGACTCTATTAATTGTCATTCTTATTAATAAATATTTCATGCATTTATTAAAAAATTTAAGCTAGTTTTTCTCACTCTGTGGAAATTCTCAAGAATGCACATGATTGCTGAGAGATCACAATAAATAAACTACTTATTGGCAAATAAATTAAAAAGAAAAATTTTTTAAAATGTCAAGTTTTTTAACAACAAAGAAAAAGGTTATGAGATATGGGATGCATTTTAGTATAGTAGGTTTGATACAGAGATGATCCTCTAGAAATAAATGTGCTGGGCTGTTAGGGTATAAAATAACTGAGAGAGCACAGGAGAATTCCCTGCCCTCGGACCGCTGAGTGAACCAGGAAGAATAAGGATGTTGAGTGCATACAAACACTGAGCTTTGGCCCTAGGAAATTCACTGTTGAGAGGGTTTTGATGTAGAACAACTGGATCAACGGGGAGTTATGATAGTGACTGCTAAGAACTCCTTGCACCTTTGTCAATTGTCAAACAGCAAAACAGCTGAGCCTCAGCCAGACCCCTAATGGTCAACTTAATAATTTATCTGAGTTCCTTCTATTGGAAATGCAAGGAGCAGTGTAGGTTCACTATTGGCAGCGAGATTCTCCAACCTCCTCAAAGGTGGCATACTTGGTAGATCATTTCCAGCAGGGTGCACCATTGAGACACTAGAAACTACCCAGTAGGAAATAGTCAAGAAGAGTCTCCAGACCTAAACTGAGGAAGAATCACCAGAAATTGGGAACAATGAGGACCTCCTGGCTGCTGAGCATGACATGGCTCAACCTGGACTCTAGTTGGGAGAAGCAGACTCCTGAGAAGTCCTAACTTGGTGGAGTATAATTGCCCCCCACCCTCTCAGGTTCTCTTCCAAGGCATACTACAAATTCAAGGAAAGGGACATGTGAGGCAAAGAGTCCTCCAAGGCGCTGGCCAGACATGCAGATCATCACACCAAACCCCATTCATTATCAAGAGAACATAGACATTTCGTGTTCTTTGAGCCTAATGGAAAAAGAACCTAGGGTATTGCTACATGTTTCCCTTTTTGTTCTTAAAACTGAGGTTGCCTATTTATTCTGCAGATCATATGGTATACAGATAACACATATCTGCCAACTAATAAATATTTGAGTCATGGGTCTGCATTCTCACCCAGCTTTTCACTACTGTCTCCCCCAGGGCCAACAGCAGCTCCTGAGTTAACTTCCCAGTAGTTATTTGTGAAAAACAACCCATAAGGATGGATAAAACCAAGTCAGCTTAGTTTATTTAAAAAGAAAATGATAAAATGATTCTCTCTCTCCTCTCTCTCTCTCTCTCTCTCTCTCTCTCTCTCTCTCACACACACACACACACACACACACACACACACACGCATACAAATAATTCTTAGGACAAACATCTACCTGCCCCACCACGCTTCCACTCCTGCCTCATGTTTATTGCCCACCACCATACTAAGAGCAGTGAAATGGTCCAAGAGGAGAGAAGGTGAACTGTTTAACAATGGATAAGTTACAAAACCACTAAGCCCCCAGATAATAATATCTCCTTCATAGAATTATATCAAGTCGTTAAGATAATGAATACAATCACCTTATCACTTGATGGACAAGCAATAAATGGTAACTGTTACTACGGTTGGCATGCAAGACTATTGGTACAAATTCTTCCAGATATGACTCTAACATTTGTGACATGAGACAGCCAAGATTATATCTGAAAATTGAGGAAATGGCACATGGCAGAGTGGCTTAGTACTCTCTCTAAATAATTAGTTGATTCAGTGATCTTTGTAAGAAGAGATATTTTTATGGTGCTAAAATATACATAATATAAAATTTACCATTTTATCCATTTTTAAGTGGCATTAATTACTTTTTCATTGTTGTGCAATCATTACCACCATCTATCTCAAACTAAAACTCTGTAGCAATTAAACATTAATTTTCCATTCCCTACTTTCCCAGGCCTGGTAACCACTATTCTATTTTCTGTCTCTATGAATTTGACCATTTGAAGTACCTTATGTAAGTAGAATCATGGAACATTTGTCCTTTGATTGTACTCACTGTAATGTCTTTACGCATATATTAGAATTTCATTGCTTTTTAAAGGCTGAATAATATTTCATCATGTGAATGGACAGCATATTTTGTTTATCCCTTTCTCCATTGATGGACACTTGGGCTGCTTCCACCTTTTGGCTATTGGTAATAATGATGCCAAGAACATAGTGAGCAAATATCTCTTTAAGTTTTGCTTTTAATGCAATTGACTATATATCCAAAAGTGGAGTTGCTGGATCATATGGTAGTAATTCTATGCTTAATTTTTTGAAGAACCACCATACTGTTTTCCACAACAGTTGCGCCATTTTACATTCCCACCAACAATCCACAGGAGTCCCAATTTTTCCACGTCCTGGACAATGCTTGTTATTTTTTGTTTATTTTTTTGTTCTTCTTTGTATAATAGCCATTCTAATAACTGTTGCATGGCACCTCATTGTGGTTTTCATTTATACTTCCCTAATGATTAGTGCTGCTGAACATCTTTTCATGTGCTTATTAGCCTTTTGTACATTTTCTTTGGAGAAATGTCTATTCAAGTCTTTTTCCTATTTGTTAATCGGGTTGTTTTGTTTTGCATTTATAAAAATTCTTTATATATTTTAGATATTAATCCCTTATCAATAGAGGATTTGCAAATATTTACTCCCACTCTGGGAAGAGTCTTTTCACACTACTGATAGTCCTTTGATGTACAAAAAGTTTTTAATGTTGAAGAAATCTAATTTATCTACTTTTTTTTGTTGCCCATGTTTTTGATGTCCTATTTAAGAAATCATTGGACCTGGAGTTAATGTCATAAAGCTTTCCCACTACATTTTCTTTTAAGAATCTTATAGTTTTATTAGCTCTTATGTTGAGTTTTTGATCTGTTAGAGTTATTTTTTGTGCATGGTATAAGGTAAGCCTTCAACTCCACTCTTTTGCATGTGGATATCCCATATTCCATGTTTTGCATGTGGAGTATCATTTGTGGATGGGTCATTTTTAAACCTTGTGTTAGTCTACTAAAGTCCATCAGCCTGGAAGCAACAATAGAAAAGAGTGCCATATAACATTGAATTATTTCACAAATTGGGTCCTAATAAATTTGCTTTTATAGCTACATTATAAATATTCCTAAGTCCTCCTTATAGCATTAGTAAGTAATAGTATTAAGGTCCAAAAAGTACTATAGAATTGAAATTTGAAATATTCCTATTTTTCTGACCAAAAGAAAATTGTCATTAGGTTACACTCAGGAATGGCTAATTTGTATTAGGACATAAATAATTATGTATTTAGGTTTAACTTCCTGCCTGACAAATCCAAATTTGAGCAATAGAATATAAAAAAGACTAAGTTTGACTAACTTTTCAAATAGAGAGAACAGGTTAATTCTAAGGTATAAAAAAAATAAAAAAGAAACTCAAGAGAAAAGTAAAACCTGGAAATGTTTTCAAGTTTACTATTTTAAAAAACTAGAAATTATACTCTAAAAGTGCAAAAAAAGTGTGTGACCTCACTAATATTTATCCTGGACTGGAACAAATATTCCTATTTTAAAATTCACCAGTCAACAGATAAGGAAAATTAGTATATTCAAACCTGCAATTAATTGACAAGGGGAAAGGGAAAGAACTTTGGGAATGATGGAGTGATCTACTTTCCCCTTTATCATTTTCTCTGAGTCTATAAAATCCCAAGTCCTGTCTGCTATTTTCCAAACTTTCTGGCCTATTTTTTCTGTTGGAAAGGAAACTGGGAAGGAAGGAAAGAAAGAAGGAAGAAAGGACCGAAGGAAGGGAGGGAAGGAGGGAGGGAAAAATAAATTCAGTTTTCCATATAGGTGGATTTTCATTCATTAAAATTCAAATTACCCTTAACAAATTGTTAAGCACAATGACTAGCCCAAAGAGGGTATGCAGTTTGATAATGTCAACTGAACCTCCTTGTCTTAGAAACCCAGTGAAATAAAAGAATTACAACTTGCATTCTGCTTTGGAGAAGAATATACAAGGAATGAAGAGGTAAAAAGCTTTGCGGAGAGAACAGCAAAAGCCATGAGAGGAAAACACAAGATTAACAGACCTCACAGAACATTCTGAGTCCCTGAAAACCCAAGAAGAGGGTAAGATACAAATTATAGCCAAAATAGCAGAAGAAAGTAATAAGTAAATTAACATATAACAGAATTCTTCTATAAACTTTGTTCTTTTTTCCCTTTGCTCTCCAAGTTTTGATAAAGGACTTAAGTAAAGTTTAGGTTATTTTTCCATTTTTTTACTCCAGCAGTTCTTTTAGAGTTTAATAAACATCTGCCTGGGGCTGGGCTTAAATGTTAAAGACAACTCTTCTCTGCCATTGTTGAGTTTAAATGAAAGTTCTTCGTCCTATGGAATACAGTGGAAACTCTCCTATTGGAAGATGAGTTCATTTTGTACGGAAGCTGATCAATAAGCTTTTTGTTCAGGAGCACTGATGTTCTGAAAAGTTTAAGACATCCTTTCATCAAAAATAGAAAGTACAAGAGTGAAAAAAATACCCATTTTGTTTTCAAAACAAAAAGTGAAAGAGAAATAAGCCAAATCAAGGAACGGCCTGTTTCCCTCCGTACAACCTTTATAAGCACGCCTGTCATATCCTGCTTCTCCCTGCCATGTTCCGCTGGGCTCTCCCCTATCTATCCAAGCAGAGAGACTAGAATTTCCTTGAATTTCTATGAATCTATTTTGTGAGTCTGAGTTGTTTTTTGCTGGCGGAATTCAAAAGCATGTTTCTAAAAAGAGTCAAGTATAAAAAACAATGATGTTTTAGCCCACTGGACTCCTAGTCTGGAAACTTGAGGGGGTCCCTTAACATTTCTGTGCTGTCATTTCATCATCAAAGAGCAGCAGTGTAATGATCACGTCCTGGTGTCTGACAAGATTTCAACCACGAGTTCTTCCCCCAGCTTCCCATAAGTGATAAGCTTCAAGGGAGGCCGTGCACATGCAGAATTAGTGTGCAAAGCGTATACTGTTTTTTGTTTTGTTTTGATTTGTTTTATCAGATTCTGAAAGGAAACCCTGAGCCAAAAAAAAAAACAAAAAAAAAAATTTAAAAAAAATAAAAGCTGCTCTGGGATCTTAGGGTGACAGAAGAAAATATAAAAATCAGCTCACACTGAAGGAATTTCAAATCTAGTTAGGGAGCCAAACTCAATGCAGCTGATCAGTGGGAGAACTATAAAGGCAAATATGTCAAAGAGCTTCATTTTGTGATGCAGTCCACAGGCGTTCAGAGAAACGGGGAGATGAATGCGCAAGAAGAAGGGAAGGCTTCCCGAAAGAGGTGAGACTCAACCTCCCCACGTTCTCTTATCTCAGGGGTTTTATGTGGCATGTTGGTGTTGGCCACCTCAAGTAGATGATCTTCTATGTCTACCTTAATATATGATAAAGCAGAAATTATGTAAAAGAGTATTTCTAACCCTCTTTACTAACAATTTCAACTGTGCACTTTTTAAAGCCTGTTAGATAACAACCTTGACAATGCAGTTAAACAATGATCAGTAGATAATGTTACCTAATTTTTCAGCAAGGCTGTTCTGCTCCATTTTCCTGTGAATCGACTTTGGAAAACGAAGCCAGTCTCTCCCAGCCATCCACGGTCTCTGGGCCTCAGAGTCTCCACCTAGCTGTCACCCTCAGGGAACACCAAGGGGACAGACTGATTTTACCGTTGTCCGAATGAAAACAGTTTTCTAGGATGCAAATTTATGACAAGGGAAGGCAAGCCCGAGTACTTGAAGAATTCTAACCGCTTTCTCCTTCTCGGAGCTACTTCTTCTCTCACCAGCAGGAGTGGCTGCGGCGCCCATTCCAGGAAAATGGAACTTTATCTTCTTTAGATGGTATCAGTACCTTGTCTGTCATCTTTATTTCATGTCCTGTTTCAGGAACTTATGCACTTTGTTGACGTGACAGAAAATGCACTCACATATGTCACATATGCAATATTGGAAACAATTCTTTTAAGTACAGTGATTATATTATAAACACTGAAAGTATAAACTTCTTGGTGGATATTGAGTTATGACGGGGAGATTCAGACCTTTCTTGTTTTTCTCTTAGCCAAAATACCTCTCTGAGAGTACACTTTCGAGAGAATGCTGAATTTATGTCAAATAGAACTAAAAATTACCAGAGTCTGCATTTAGAAATAAGCAGGAACTGAAATGGAATTCAAGTGAAGGAATTGAAACTCAAACTCTCTTAACCAATCAGCTTGTCCCATTAGCTACATTGTTAATGGAAATCGCTAGACATCTATTTAGCATGTAATTTTTGTCCAACTTACTAGTACAGAGATAAAGTCAAAGAATGCCTAAAAATAATTAATTATTATGTTGTACATGGTGAAAATATGTTGAAAAACTTAGAGGTAAACACTATCAGAGTGTAGAATTATTTCTACCTGCAAGGCTTACCTAGTGAACTGTTTACCATCTCGCTCTCACGAGTTACCTGTGTGCTCCTCCCTCTAGAGTCCTGCACTGTGAAACCACCTAGGGAACTGTAAAAAGTACTAATGGCTTTGTCTCACTACTAGGCATATTTGTTTTAATAGTCTGGGGTAAAGGTTGGGAACTGGGCTTCAAGAAAACTTTCAGGTGATTTTAATGAACAGCTGGGTTGAGACCCACGACTTTAGACTCTAAGATGTCCCTTCACTGTGATAATCTCTGATCTAGCAGATAGTGAAATAAGAGGTTTTCAAGTTAAGGTAAGCATAGCTCCATTGTGAGGTCTTCTTCTGGCAGTGGTCTCTATTTAGTGACATGCCTGGGTCCCGTGCCTATCTTTCTCCTTCATTCATTGCACATTTATTATGTGGCAAAGACTGTGCATTTGCAGATTGCTGACTACCCTCCTAGCTCCTGGCTGCATCTCAAGCCTCACCTCTCCTTGAAATACTTACAATTTTTAAAGCAGTATCATGTTCCTTTGGACCCCTGACATTTGCCCCTGTCCTGCCTTCCTGCCTTGTCCTGGCAATGATTCTATTCATATTTCTTACCACAATGTTGATTTTGAAAAACATTTTAATTTTAAGCAATACATGAGGAATATTTTCTTAATAAAGGATTTTGTTTTGCCATGGTTATAATTAGTATTAGCTCATCATCAAATGAACAAATTTGGTGCCCCTGCACTAGGTAAATGTGGTAGTACTTACAAGAATTTCTAGAAACCTGAAACCCCAAATTAAGGACTTCGTTGGCTTTCCTTTGCAACAGGAAACAAAGATGATTTTCTGCCTTTGATATTACTTTAGGAACAGGCTATATATTCAAAATAAAAGAAATAAATCTATATACCAGAATATGTTTAGATAGGTACTAGAGTTCATTGGTGGTTAATCTAACTACCTGGGGGCAAATACCATGCCCTTAACTCAAGAATATCTAGTTCACTAGTGTGAGGAATTGAGGCCGTTGGTGATAACAAAAATTACTGAAAAATTAACACATGAACCTAAATTGAAATGTGTTTTATATTTTAATG